AGGACTGCATAAAATTTTCAAAATGCATTAATAATGTACAAAACAAATACAAACCAATCAGCAACTGACAATGTTATATATTTTTTTATTGGTTAATGCTTCCGTTGAACAAGAAAATGGGTATACTGGATGCTAAAGGAAAAGCCAACTTACTGCAACACCAACAACTTGTAATAAAAAAAGTATAGTTTGTGTTTGAAGAGCTACACACACATCCTCGAGAAGACAACAAAGCATTTATGACTCAAACACTCTGAAACAGCTCAGGCTCCGCCACAGGCATAGGTGTCATGAACACTCAAACTTAATTCCCATGGTATTTTTGTTTTGGATAGTTTTTCCTCCTTTACTTCACCACCTACTTCATCGCATACACAACACATACTACACAAGATACTGCCAAAACAACAGATGACTGATTGTATACCCAGTGTTAAAAACCAGCCATAGCGTAACAAGTGTTTAAAGCCTTATTACCACTGCTTTACCAAAAACATACTGATTACTTGCATGAATTGCTGTACTAAAATTTTATTTTAGAGCACTATATTTAGCAGAACTTACACATGGTGCTATAAAGGCTGGCCATGAAGATCTGCATCAGCACCACTACACCACAGACTAAACAACACTGCTCACACAAGTGCAAGCTCAGTGCTATTTGTTAAAAGGATACAGCCTTTCTAAACTTAGTTTTCATCAATTCTTCCGGATGCCTTACCACTCCCAATCCTTGTTTTCATTCTTCTTTTAAAAAAAAAAAAATCAGCAGTGCTCCAGGCCAGGTTGGATGGAGTGCTGACCAACCTGGTCTAGTGAAAGGTGTGCCTGCCCTTGGCAGTGGAGTTGGAACAGGATGATGTTTAAAGTCCCTTCCAATCCAAAACATTCTGTGACTCTATGATTTTGCATTTTAAGCATCTTCCTCAGCTGTTCTAAAAGCACTGAAGACTGTCTAGAAGTACATGCTATTACGATCATTTTTTGCCCATTCTTATTAATTGTATTTACAAATCAATGAGTAAGAATGGACAGAAATTCAGGACATGGAAGATAAAATTATTGTTCCCAGAAGTTCATTTTCTCTGGGAAAGAAACATGTCTCTCCTAGTGAAAGATTTAAAAATCCAAAAGGCTGTATTTAAACTAAAATTAATGGATATAAGCTACACCATGACCAAAAGTAGCATTCCGAGGCCCTTTGTTTCACATTTTGCTTTCTGCTCCTAGTTTCACCCTCTTTTGCTGTCATAGCTACTCATGAAATGATACAAGCAGCCATACTGGGGGAAGAAACTGAATGAAAACAAACTCACTCTGGAGGTCAGCTTTTGGAAAATTAGTTATCCAATCAGATTTACCATGAAGCTGATACAAACAGTCACAAACTGGGAAAAGGGACATCAACTCAATGAGTGTTTAGAGACTGCTTCTTCTCCTGGCCAAAATTTTTTATTTATTTTTAAGTTAACTGGACATTTCAACAGAGATGCTGACATAACTTACTGTTAGTTAATAGTCCCCTTCCTGCCATGCTTTCTAATCATCACCTTGGTACTGTTCCCCATACACCCATTACCCTTCTACTGTTACTCACATAACCATCCACAATGTTCCACATGAGCCAAACAAAGCAAAGCCAAAGAGAGTATAAAAGGAGACAATATATAAACAGAAGCCCTTAGGCTACAAAAGACAACATGAAACTAAGAAAGAAAACTGAAAAAAGAAAGAACAACAGGAAATATTTACAAAGCAATATGACAGTTGGTTAGAACTTTCAGCAAGAATTTAAAAATATCTAGGGTAATTATTTCACATATCTGTACTGTAGCAGCACATCAGGACTCCTTGGGTCAAACACTCTACAAATACCAAGACAGATTTTGTTTGAATGATATTTCAACCTTACTGAACTTAATTCTCGCTTCCCTTTTTCTCATCCAGTACCATCAGTTACTGACCCTATCACACCACATGGAGATATCAAAAAGCAACTTTGCTGCTCATCTGCTCTGCAACACCAATTCCCATATCCAGTTCTTCCTTCCTAGTAAATCTGGTTTTTTCACACTTTCTTCAGTGTGTTCATAATGTTCTCAAAGTTGGTCATGAAATTCTGCAAAATTAACATATTACACACCTTCAAATTTCTACTCAAGCCAGTTACTCACCTAGATACATGAAGAATTTAATGACCTAGGTTATTAAGAGTGACAAAACCAACTCTGTGCTCAAACACAGCCACAAGAAGCCATGCTACATCCACACCCTGTACAAAAAAGAGCTGTGCTTCTTCAAAGAAGAATAATTTTTGCCCTGCTACTTTCAGATATGCAAGATCAGATTCAAGAAGCAGCACTTTCAAGTACTACAGTAGTATGAAAAATGGATCTCCTATAGCAGGTTTTTAGTAAAGGGTTTTTGATTATTTCACGCAAGTCATGCTAAGTAGAGCACACAAGCAAGAAGGCTCTTAGATATACTCCTATAATACAGTACATGGACTAAATACTTTCAACTGAATTTATTAAAAAAATTAAATAGAAGTAGTAAAGACTACGACCAAAAGGAACTCCAAACAAACAGCACAAAATTATCCACTGACATTTATGCAAGCTGGAAGCTGTACTTCAGCTTACAGAGAGATATCTCAGTTGTCCCAGGTAGTCTAGGATTTTCTTTAAACAGTATTGTAAAATACAGCTCTGCTGCTGCCACAGCTAGGCTAACACCTTGAGAACACTTGATTTTGCAAGTAAGGCATTTTAGCTAATTGACCCAATTAGTTACATGCTGGTCTTCTACAGATATGGTCCTCCTGAACTCTGTTCCCATTACCAGATAACAAAAAGAAAAAGAAAAAAGGCAAAAATGTACCTGGAGCAAGCCAGGTGAAACACAGCAGGCAGTGAAAAAGAGCTAATAAATCCGAACTGACAGAAACTGTTTTCTGTAGTCCTATGTCTTTGCATTAAATTCCCCAGTTTACTTATTATGGCAAAATTTATTAGTTTGAATGCAAGGTAACTGAACTGTAAGAGATTCATCTTGCATCTCACCAAAGACCTCCTGGACCTGAGAACAGGGTCTAGAGACACACATTTAACATCCAGTGAGGTGCCACATGTTGATTCCTGGTCTTTATCAGCCAGGCTGCATTTCGGTTTACCTGTGTGTACAGTATTTCCCAGCTACTATTCTACCTTACACAATGAAAAAAATTCACATCTCAGCTCATTATGCAGCTAATGTTTCATAAAGTGACACTAAATGAAGTTTGCAAGGCTGAACCAAGGATGAGACAGTATTAACTGAAAAAAGTACCCCTCCATTTTTTATGCAATCTCAGCAGGTAACTTTGCAATTCATAGCTATGTACATCTCACAAGTGACCACTTAAATACAAAACTTTGAAAAACTTTACTCAGTGATGTCTTCCCACTTTTGCAGGGTTGCCTTAACTGAATCTGAAGTTACTAAAATCCAACACAAAGGATCACCAGTGAAGTGTCAGAGGAGCTATGTAAAGTGACACACCCACATATGTGGACACTTTTTGAAATCCATCACTTCAAAAAAGCTACCTTCCAAACTAAGTAGGCAGAAAACTATTTCAAGAAGAGACACACTACTAGCAAGTCACAATAAGAACCTCTCCTTAACCCACAGCAAGCAGCAGGATAATTTTTTAAAAAATGTTCCTAAAATTAAAAATACCCCAAAAACCGAAAAACCAAGAAACTCACACCCCACACCCCCCCAAAACGAAAGGTGTTCCTAAAATCGGTAGCAGAATGTTACTTGAAAAGCCAATTTCTACCACGTCAATTTAAAATAATTAGGTCTGCACAGTGTAACAAAAGTAACTATGGATGTAAGTTTTTCACAGCAAAGAACACTCCCAGGGATAACTTTTGAGACAGAAATAACAGCAAACTCATAAATGCCCCTACAAAGCTGCAGCACTACTGAGAGGCTATTCTTTCAAAATATCACTATGCAATACTATAAGGAAAACAAGTTTGGATACTGTTTCTGACTTACAGAGGGCTTAAAGGACTCTGGGAAAATGAAAGAAACAAACTGCAGCAAGACAAAGAAAAGACAAAGGCACTGAATTTCATCCATGGTTCTTCTCTCAAGATTTACTTTCACACCACGGCATAAGCACCTGCAATATGCTTGTACAGTACCTAGAACAAGGACAGCCAATCCTGAACCTTGCAGCAGAACCAGAGAATGTACTACAGCACATTAGAAAGCAGTCCTTCAGTGTATCACAATTAACACCCATCCTCTACCAAAAGCAGTGTAAGATGAAAAGGAACTAAAGTGCTTCAGCAAAGATTTCATTAGCACTTTAAGACTTTCCCAGGTGAGATTCTATCTGCCTCGGCAGACTTAAAAGCATGTATTACTTGTGCTTCAACAGATTCATAATTCAGATGGATTATGGGAAGCAGCAGCTTCTTACTCATCAATTCTTGCTCTTTCCATAGGGTGACAAATTCCCAGGCTCTTATTCAGAATATTCCCCTTTATTCTTATTACTGTTCATCAACAAGTAGCCTTAAGAATAACTTTCTGTTTCAAAATTGATATGACATCCATGAAAAGATGACACTGAGGAAATAAGTTGTCGGCTACACACCCTAAAAATTACATCAAAGTCTGTAAATCCATATAGCCAAAACCCAACACCTTTAAAGGTAACAGCAGGATCAGCCTGGTCATTCAAACCCTAACTTTTTTTTGTCAAGAAAAAATGAGATGATGTTTTGTTATTTATTGTAAACTGATTTGTGGACAAAAAATACCACAATCAGCTCTCTTAAAAGAATCAAATATAAGAGTGCAAATTCTCAACAATAAGGAATCAAGCTGTATAAAGTGGTAAAATAGGAAAATAAGTTTTGATACTGAAAACATTTGTTGACTGAAAGATGATATAAGACAGTATTTCAAGAAACAATTAATTCATAATGCACTCTGCTTACCCATCTCTTCCCTTACTGACAATTTTAACTTCGAAATAATATATGCCACAGGCTGCAGGTATAGGATGTGTAGCTCGAACAGAAGCAGCGTCTTTTGGAGTTTTTCCATGACCTGAAAAACAAGAGCATTTGAATGCACAAATGAACACATAAAAAATGTGCTTTAGTTAATTGCAGAAGGTGACTCAAAGGTATGCATGCCAACTACTCAAAACATAAGGCTTATGCAATGAGCAAACAACATACAATATTCTTGTCAACCTGATTTTTATGCTGGAGTATTTTGTTTCAAATACTGTAAGCACCTGTATTGCATCCAAGGATGCTAAAAGAAGTCCTGGATATAGTAATCCAAATAGGTCCCACAATTATTTAAAGGGAAGCCAGGAAAAAGTTTCACCATTCTAAGTAACATGATTGACAAAAGGCCACCTGTGTTTGAAAGAACTGTATGATTTCTCAAATGCACAGGGCTTACTCATTTTTATAAACTGAAACACAACGTAAGAGAGCTTCATCTAATGCTTAGTACTCTGAATCTACAAGTTAATGAAGACACTTCAATTCTAACATCCTCCAGAATAAACATCAGTCATTATACAGAACATGCTACTCACAATCAATTTCCACATTCCAATGTTGTTCCAGGACAGCATTAAGCCTTACAGCCTGCAACTGAGCTCATGCAGCTCCTACTCCTTTTTCTTATTAGGCTCACTCTACATTAGCTCTGCCACAATAATGCCCAATTTCAGCTCTTGTCTACTGCCAGGATTTTCAACCCAAACCCAAGAGCCACTTGCATTCTACTAACACCAACCCTCTGAAGGTGTCATCCTTCCTCCTCACAGCCCTTTCCAAAAGCAACCTGCAAGCAGGCTTTTGACCAGATAACTTGTTTTAGCAACAACCTGCTCAAGCAAGCACAGTGTCTCCCAAGTACACCCAAAGCTCCTCAACTTTTGTGTGACAGTCATGCATGGGGCCACTGGACATAATTTTAAAAAATTTAACAAACAAGATGGAAAGTATATGGGATCACAGCAAGAAGCAAGGTTTCCACTCAGTAAGGTGGAAACCAAGAACAGACTGTCACTGCCATAAGAATAACTCACGCTGATCCCATGCCTACTCTTGAAGTGGATCTGTAGCATGATGAAAGGAGCTGCCTGTTTTGAGTGTGCTGTACAAATCACTTGTGCTGCAGCACTCCAGCTGTCATTTCCAGTCCAGACAGGGAGGCCTACTACACCTGCACAGCAATTGATCTGCATATGCAAAAATCCCACAACCAAACACACTTCTTTCAGGGGCATTCACACTGGCATTACTGCTCAGGCTCAGATTAATCATGTCTCAGGTGCAGCAAGTCAGGTCACACAGCAAAGAAGAAACTGTAGGACAATGACAGCCTAGGCAGGCAGAAAGATAAGGCCCAGCTGGCCCACAGTACAAAACCTCTAAGGGCAGAGGGTCAGGGATTGACCTGTACAGAACCTCTGAGCACAGTGCTCCCTTGTGCAAATGTTCATAGAACTGTCAGTGCTTATCAGCCTGCAGAGCCAGCACCCACCAGCTCCTAACCAATGGCACGTGCTCAGCCAGGGAGAGCTCTCACTGAGGCAACACCAGCAACCAACACCTTTTTGGACAGCACAAATTCTTCACCCACTGACATTAGGTTTAACCTACCATGTTTTCTCTGATGTTGATGACTCACTCCAGTGTGCTACCACCTAAACACAAGAGGCCAACCACCTTACTTTTCTGAGTGCAAACCCATTCCTTACTTCAGTGTTTTGTTAGTACTACTAAACTTTTGTGCAGAAATCCTTCGATCACCTCACACATTTGACAATGTTAAGTTTGTTGCCTACGTCCTGCATGTTGATTTATGCATGCTGATGTGATGTATCACATGAGGGAAAAACAGTAATTTACGCCTCATATACATACACAATATGGTTTATTGTTCACTACTTATTTCCTCGGGCTGTGACAACCAGTGTAACAACCAAGTACATAATCTTAGAGCTTCCATGAGTTTGCTTGGTTTTCAAGTGCTGGTGGATCACTATTTAGCTATTACAGATTATCATGTCTAAGTACATTGAAATCCTTTAGCTAGAAGGGCAGAACACTGAATTCCTAAGATATCCCTTAAGTTCAAAGAAGTCCGAATAAACAATGCACTGGAAGAAGGAAAAATACTTTCTTCTAAAATCTCTTTAGGTTTTTACTTTAAAACAGACTGCAAAGAAGTTCCCTTGGTTACTCTATGCACTTGACAATCTGTGTAGTTTCAGTCTGAGTCATTCTCCTTATTTGGGAAAGTCTTCCACATAGAAAAGACTAAAGCAGTAGGAACCAGCCAAATATTATTGAAAATGTAAATCTATTACCCAGCAGACTTAGCTTTGTGAAATCACAATCTAAGTGTTTGGCAACAATACCTATTTAAGGTATTCTTAACACCTCCTCCTGAAACTCCCCTTCTCCCACCTCCTCCCCAATCCAGGCATTTATTTGCAAGGCCATACTAGGAACCAGATTGACTAGCTGATCGAGGTTTAAGAAACCTACCAGATTTTTTTAAGCAGCAGATCAGTTCCCTGATCCAGTTCACAACACAGCCACACACAGCTGTCACACTGCAAATAAGAGGTCAACAGAGGGGCAGAAGTAACAGGATACCTTACCAGTATTGCCAAACACTTCATGTGGTGAAGCAACACGCTTGGGGAAGTCAGTGCCCAAAACTACTTTCATCCCATTAAAACAGAAGACACCCTAAATTTAGAACTGCTGTCCTTCTAACATAATCTCCTATGAATCCCATTTTACTGCTTGAGCATACTGCTTTTATTTGTACTTACATAAAATTAATATGTCTAGAAGGCTAAACATCATCCAGTTAACTACTTTCCAATATTCCAAGTATCTCCACACCATCTAAACATGGTAGTTAAGTCTTTCAGTACCACTGAATTACATGTGGTCATGAGATCCTAGTTTATCAGCCTGCTTTAAAACAATAAAGAGGCTCTTAACTGAACAGTTAGCTGAACTGCAAAATTCCTTAGCAGAGGATACTACAGATGTTAAAGAGAACACAGCTTCTAGAACTGCAGTTAACTGAGACACTGCCTTGAGTCCACACTGTCCTGCAGCTTAAAATGGCTGGAAGCTGAGAGGGGAAACAGACATACACCATTTTTAGATTTTTAGATTTTTTTCTCAGGCACTTGCGACCACTGTCACCAATGGGACTCCTGAGCTGAGTGGCCCATTAACTTGATGTCTTCTACTGCTGCCACATTCTTTGGTAACCTGAATCCTCACTTCCTTGCTTGTGAATAAAAAAGAACTCTGACACCCAACTCTGAACTTCTGAATCGGAGGTTCCAAACACCTGAAGTAGATCACACAAACACTGCCCAATGTTTCCTCAAAACACACTCCTCCGACAGTCACAAGCTATAGGTTGAGTATTTAAAAGAACACTTTTGAAGTATGTAGTATTTAACACTAGGGATTTTCATCATTAAAAAGAGAACTCTGCAAACAGATGCACTGGGAGCAGAGAAGGGAAAACAGGTCTACAAATCTTGAACTTTACACTGTAAACCAGATCATAGGTGAGTTCAATTACTAGTACTGCTTTTACTTGGGCTTTCATTAGAAGTGTTTGACAAGCATGAGTTGACCATGCTTTATATAACTTTTTAAGCACTCACACTAATGATTTTTAGTAAGTAGTATCGCTACTACTTAAGCAAAATTACAGTGAAATTAATCTAAATTTTAATTCTATCAAAAGCTAACTCGGATATAAACATGTTCGGAGAAACCATCTCTGCTTTCAAAAAAGATAATCTTTGAACCTAAATCTAAGTTTATAATGCATACACACCAAATAGTCCAGAAGAAATCTATAGGAGCACCTACCTAGACAAAAGTAAGCATGTTTATCCAGTTTAAATCCTCAAACGAAGTTTACATAAGCTGAACTGCAGTTATTTCCAACAGGTGGTTCAATGACTTGCTCACACTGCCAAAAATAAAATAATCAAAGCCTAATCTTCTGTTGTATTCATTAGGCAAGTTTCACTGAGACAAGACTGGAACAGGCTGCCCAGGGAAGTGATTGAGTCACCACCCCTGGAGGTATTTACAAAACCTGTAGATGTGGCACTTGGGGACACGGTTTAGTCGAGGACTCAGCAGTACTGAGTTTGTGGTTGGACTCGGTGTTCCTACAGCTCTTTTGCAAACTAAATGATTCTATAATTCTAAGAAAAAAACCAAATCAAAAGACACAAATTACTAATTTTACTTTAACTTCTTCCCCAGTTTAAAAAAAAAGCAAGACATCTCAGAGCTACAAGGCTGTCCAAAACAGGCAAACTGTACTGAATGTACCCTGAGTGTTCTCTGCCAGAAAAAGTGACACCATCCTTGCAACGCTGAGTGACAACACAGAACTATTAGTATAGAATCCTCTTCGTTCTCCAACAGGAAATGGAATGCATAGTTTGCACTGAAAAATAATATATTTTTGTTTTGCACTACAGGCAGTTCAAAGGCAACTGCACTGTAAATAAATGTCTGGCTAAGATCCCCTGGCCTGTGATACATTAGAAAAAGTTCATGCAACGGCAGCTTGGTCAAAATTGCATAACTTTCTTCAGCTTTTTTGGACAATTGTCGCAAGACTAATTTAAGTGAAGTTTCTATAGGAGTTTCCATTATTTCTGCACCAATTATTTTGTCTGTTTACAATTCTGTATATAGTTTCTTCCATGGTTACAAATCTGAGTCTGTTTTTATCTCCTTACACTACATAGTACAGATCACTACCTGCTGGAAACCTAATTTGCCTGTCTAGTGGATCTTTCATACCACATACACCATTTATGAATTCCCTGGTTTTCAACGGGACCCATGTCTTATTTCTGAATCTTTTAGAAATACATAGGAATATTTTTAAAGATGTCTTGCCTTACTAGCTATGTAATTTTGTGCATGCTTTATGTGCAGCATGCACTTATGCTTTCTTTACCACTTACCTACAGCTCAGAGCTGTAAAAATTATAATTAAGTGAAATGACA